AAATTTTTAATACTCACTCAGGAGTTTAGAGAACTCTGTGCAAAAATAGGGTTTTGTAAAAGGCCCATAAACTGCTAGCAGATGCATTTTCTAATAAAACTCCAAGTTTATAGTACTAAATAAGTCAAATTTTGCATAGGGCAAGTCATTTAAAATATTCTTGGTATAGTCTAACTAAATGGTATAAGGGATGTAAACTTGCCTGGAAAAAAGTCAAAATCCCCACTGAGATGAGTAAAATGTAAGCTTATGCTCCTTTTCTATTATAATTATTATCTATATTTTCTTATAAAATAATTAACCAAGGCCCTGGCCAGTTTGGGTCAGCGGTTGAGCATCGGCCTAAGGACCAGAGAGTCCTGGGTTCAGTTCCCGCGAGGGGCACGTACCACACACACACAAAAATTAACCAAGAAATTTATGTCCAGTATATACATTACTTGAATGTACCCAAAACTATTTTTAAAGAAAGAGGGTCTGCTTCCTTGACAGTCACTAACAAGTCATCTGAATTTTGAACTATCCATTAACAGCAACATTGTTCTACTTCTTCCTAGGTCAAGAGTAGCAAATAATTTTAATGATGAAGCAAAACAAACAATTCTATTTAAGCAATTATCAAAATTTAAAGGAAAATAAAAACCAGACTCCCACTAAGTGTCAAATGATTCTCCCCATTGCAAGTACTGGCCACATTCAGCCTTCTTTGAAAGTTAGTTTGAGGCATTAATTACCCTGTGTTATCTCTCAGTGACTCCAAAAAAAAAAAAAAATAGCTTAAAATAATTTAAAAGTTTTAAATGCACTATCATATCATCCAGTATGTATTAATAAATAGTTGTTTAAAACTGGGTAGAAAAAAACAGAACGTGCAAATATGTTCTGTTTTCCCAGCATGACCCTTGGATATGTAAAGTAGATTTAATACTAAAGCTCTAAGTTTGCATTCCAGAAATCTAAATAGCACTGGAGAGTTATAGGAATTAGTAAAATCTGCATAGGAATGTTATGTCTAATCACATTACATAAGACAACATGGCATTATGATGACAACTTACATAAAAGGATCCAAATCTGTGATTTATTAAGTTGCTCATACACTGGATGCAATTTTCAAAATCAAGTAAAAAATGCTTTGTAATTTATTTAGTAAACTTAATTTATTTTCCACTTTAGGTCCAAAAGTAATTTTTTTCTCTGATTTATTAAATACCTAATTAACCATACTAAGAATGTACAATCCATATCCCCATGTATACTTCAAGATATTTTATGAAATACCTTGTTCAGGTGTTATAACTCTATTCATTTACAACTCTTTTTCCTCCTAAATCAAAAAATATCCAATTAAAAATCTCAATCCCTGAAATCGATTGCATATTTAAAAAAATACTACACTAGCCCAGCTGGTGTGGCTCAATGGTTGAGCATTGATTGATCTATGCACCAAGAGGTCACTCCTTTGACTCCCGGTCACAGCACATGTCCAGGTTGTGGGCCCAATCCCCAGGGGGGGCCTGCAGGAGGTGGCCAATTGATATTCCCTCTCCTCAATGTTTCTCTCTTTCTCCCTCTCCCTTCCTCTCTCTCTAAAAATCAATATTTTTTTTAAATACTATGCTAGAAAAATCTTAGTTCAAATATATTTTATGTGCTAAAATGTACTGTCGATATTTTTTTTTTTATAAAGTAACATGTTCCAATGACCTTTAAAAATAAGAAGAATAAAATTAAAATCACCTAGAAATAATCACTGCGAACATTTAGGTGTATTTACTTTCAGTATTTAACACTGAAGGTAGTCAGTCAAGTGTATAGGATATTAAGATCTTATCGTAGGTACGGCTGTGTGTCCCAGTTGTGTTCTTTTTGCATTTTAAATGGCCATTTCCTATACCATTGAATATTTCTAAATACCGTAATTTCACTCTGCATAATATTCCTGTGTTGGATACAGTAATAATATAATTTTTTTCCCAAATATCTCCTCAACAATTTCAGGTACCATTCATATACTAAGAGTTCCTTACTCAACATCTCCTGTTCCATATAGACAAATCCCCTTGAACATACTCATTTGGAAGTACCACAGCAATCCAAACTGAAAATATCCAAAGCTGAAGCTATTACTTTGCACCCAGGTGTCTTTCTGTGTGTCTGTCTGTCTCTCCCCGCCCCCCTTCCTCTCTCTGTGGGGAGATGCTGGTAGATTTAAGCAAATAATTTTATTGATGAAGAAAGCAAACATAATACAGATTGCTTGTATAAATAGGTGTTGGTTCATTGATGATCACATGATCAGTTTTCAGTTTAGATCATCAGACAAGTCATTTAAAATATTGATGAATTATATAATTTAAAATTCATGATTTGCCAATTTTCTTCTCTGAGATAGCCAATTCCATTCCCTTATACACTGTACATATTAATCCAAATCCTTTTCTTCTCTTTCATTCATTTCTGTCTTTATGTATAACAATTTTCCTTTTAAAAATATTTTTATTAGAAATATTTTATTTCAAAATGTTCTCAATGTAAATCATGCTCTAAAAGTACATTAACCCAGAGACGTGGAGGTGGGGTACAGACTGACAATCCTCAGAAGAGGGAATGGTGGGGGAGAGATAAACCACAGAACTTATATGCATGTATGCATGAACAGTGGACATGGACAACAAACTGGGGACAGGGCAGGGAGGGAGGGGGAGGGGGGAATCAGTGGGGGAAAAAGGAGAAACATCTGTAACAAAAATTAATTAATAAAAAATAAATAAATAAATAAAAAATAAAATAAAAGTACATTAAACCATTTTTTAGATGTTATTTCTACATAAGTGAAGGCTTTGGTATAGTAAATGATAACCTCCATAGCATAAATAATTCGTTTATACTAGAAGACCCATGTTTCACCATTTTGCAACATAGAAACCAACATATTTGATGAACATTACTTTGCCAGGTTTCACTATTTCATTCAAATAGCAATTTATAGAGAAACTATTCATTATACTTACATATTGCATAAGTATATAGAATATTTTCCTCTTTAAATCTCTTCATTAAATAAAATTAATATTATTATTATACAGGTAAAGATTAATTTGAATATCATTAATTATTGGAACAGAAGTATCCATTACTTATACAGATATACTGAATGTAAATTTTAAATGTATGACCTAAGGTCAGTGGAAGCAAAATGGTTTCTTTAATTTCTGCAATGACTTAAAGGTTATTTTCTTTTGTATTTAAATGCAGATAAACCATGATACATTCCCTGAATAGGATCTCAATTTGCTCTCCACTGAGGTATTTCCCTAGAGACTCTCTTCAGACAAGAGCACTATTAGTCTTACCTATTAAAACAGAAGGGAGCAGAAGAAATGATACTTCTACTTCCTTTCTGCTACTTCCTTAACATGGCATTGCATTTTGTCATCTATTTATTATCTTTATTATCTTGAATGACTGCATCATCTTATTCACACTTTCTGCCCAATATATTATAATGTCCATGAGGATGTATCTTTTAATATTCCTAAAAGCTTAAAACTACGTTATAGTCACATTTGAATCTAAACTTCATTTACGGTCCCAAAACGAAAACTTTTTCTTTTTGTCACACTTTCTTGACCTTGTACTTATTCTTCTGCACAACTTAAATTGGTGTCTTATTTGTGAAGTGTCCATCAGTTCCCATCCTGAAAGTGTTATCATCAGCAACTGCCCTTTCCTTTTACTTCTTTCTTGGCACTTGGTACATTCTATCTGTACCTAAGGAACTAAAATATGTTGTCATATGTTGCCATATTTTATTGAAAATTAGAAGATGCAGGAAACTGCTTCTGTACCTTCCTGCCCTTAATGTCTACCCCACCACCACCTCATTCAAATAATCAAAGTGCTTAGTTTTACTATAATAAGAAGTTTTTAATAAATATTAGCTGAATAAATGTATACTTGCCATCATTTATAAATGATGTATTTTAGATACTTTGAAAGATTATTCAAATATAATATTCACTTTCCTTCTAGGCTCGGTCCTGTCAGGGATACAGTGGCTGAATATATGTGAGTAGAGGATGCTCCTGCTTACCATCTACATTTAGAATCTAAATTTTGAATGTTTTTCTTCCACACAAACTAAACTTTGTTGGGAGAATTCTTTGAATGAAAAAAAAGTATTAAGTCAATGGGTCAACAAACATTTTCAAAAATGGCTGATGAAATGGTAACTCATTACCACCTTCTAGAGGCAATTTCAGCAATACGAATAAAAAGCTTTAAAAATATTATAAACACTGAAACAGTGATGCTAACTTTAGTATCTCTAGTAATGCAAAATGGGTGATGTTTATATCTATCAATGAGCATATTATCTACATAACAAACACATATAAAAATATTTTTATCCTCACCCGAGGACATTTTTTCACTTTTTGTTCAGATAGAGCGGAGGAAGAGAGAGAGAGAGAGAAACATTGACGTGAAGGGGACACATCGAGTGGCTGCCACCCGCACAACCCAACCAGGGCCGGGACAAACTGCAATCCAGGTACATGCCCTTAGCGGGAACCGAACCCAGGTCTCTCTGGACCGCAGGCCGACGCTCTAACCGCTGAGCCAAGCTGGCCAGGGCTAAAAATATTTTTAAATAATCTGCTCATATTAACAGTTACAATGGAAACTATGAAACACTAACTCATATTATCAAATAGGACAAAATAGATTATTACAAAAAGTAATAAAACAAGCATTATTACCTCAACTTTATGTAAAGGCTAAAACCAACAAAACAAAAATCAAATGATGGAGAACAAAAGGACAGAAGTTATTTTTAGAAAACAGGCTCATTCAAGATTTTAATTTTATTTGACTTTTATGTATTTTACTATTTTCTTTTTAAATGTTTAGTACAAAATAGAAACCTATTTTGTAGTTTCAAATTTTTTTTTTCAAAATGGTTTAAAGTATATAAACAAACTATTACTTATTCTTACCTGGATATGCAACCTTAGTGGAAAGAATATAGACACTTCACTTTGGATAGTTTCAAGCAGTTGCCATCCAAGTTCTTCAAAATCACTTTCTCTCCTCTGTATATCAGATGCAATCCCATATAACTAAAAATAAAATTAAAATTGGACTTAGTAGAATTAATCAATAATGACATTTATGTGTATCTCAATTTAGAGCTTATAATTAACATATTCTAACATTCTAGGTGTTTCTTGTGAAAGGTCAAGGAAGTCACCTAACAATAGGAAAACAATGGTAAAGGTTTTTTGAAAAGGTCAAGTAACAGATTGCTAGATAAGGCAAATAGCAAGACCGCTACAGAATAAACCCATAGATGTGGTTCGATCCCCAGCCCTGGCTGGGGTTATACAGGAGGCAACCGATCGATGCGACCTTCTCACATTGATATTTGTTTCTCTCTCTCTCCCTCTCTCTCCCTCTCTCCCACTCTATCAGAAAATCAATAGAAAAATATCTTCAGCTGAGGATTAAAAAATAATAATAATATATCTAAATATATATGTTTATCTACCTAGCAATACCATTATTTATTACATCATATGGTGTCAATGAATTGTAGGATATATAAATAATATAATTCATTTTATCTTTCCTCAAAATGTAAAAATTGAATTATCACATTCTTCCATCTCTAGAAATAAATTTGTTCATCCTGAACAAGATATTTCAAACAAGACACAGCTAAAAGGTAACTACAAGTAGGTCATGATTTCCAGAGCGATTTACTAGGTCTTTTTGTTTTTTGTCTTAGGAAGAGAAAAAAAAGACAAAGTTAGTTTTGTTTTGTTTTGTTTTGTTTTGTTTTGTTTTGTTTTCCAGCACAATAATAGTGTCCCTATTTATTTTGTGCAACTATTAGTCTCAGAAAAGAAATAAGAAAGAAATCACTCCAGGTAACATAAGAAACTTTGTTAACTATACTGTTAATAAAAATCCAAAATATTATAGCAAAGTAAATATTTTCCTTAAACTACTCAACTTAACATCCTCACAGATTTTATAGCAATCTCAAATTGATTGAAATCCAGTCTTACTGTGGGAAATATTTTTCAACTGAGAATATTTAATGCAACATGACAGAATAAAGAATAGCACAAAAACACCCACATCAAAAACCAAGAAAAAACATGTGCCTACCTCTGCCTTTCTTTGTGCAGGAAAATGGCATATACTCTGAAGTAAACTTATTATTTCATATCTGATAGAATTAGAGTTTTTCATTTAAAGAGTATTTTAAATAGTCTGACAAAAATGAGATATGTTTATGATTTGCTCTTTTGAACATATTTTTATTTTAAAATATAAAATCTTGATTTGCAATTCAAATAATTCTTTGAATTTTAGAAGCATAATCCACTCAATGTTATACCGTTTTGCCAACATTTATTATACAGTCTCATGGAATTTAAGGATGTGTATAAAGTTAAATGAAGCCTACCATTTCTTTACCAAACCTTTCATTTTTCCCAATAGTATTAGTTAAAAAAAATTATTAACACTGCAGTATGACTAAATGCTTCAATTTGTTAATGCAACACTTACATCTTTAAATATTCCATACACAATAAAACCAAACTAAACAAACAAGCCAAGCTAAAAGGTATCTTTTCATCAAATAAAACAGACCACCATTATCATGATCTTCAAACCTTTTCAAAATCATTTCACTTATTTACTTATTTTTCTTATTTTAGCTAGTTCCAAGAATTTAGCAATATTTCAATCTAATTTGCAAAATGCGGTTAAAAAAAAAAGTTTTCCTGAATATTCATTTCTTATCTGCTACAGGCATTTAAATTCAAAATATACAAAATCCTACCCTTAACCTATAACTGTCTTCTTTGGTTGTTTTTTTCCTTTGTCCTGTGATTTTAATTAAGGAAATAGTACAGTCCTCGTTCTAACTGCTCAAAGCAGAAAGTTGGCATTATTCATCCCTGTTATTTCTCTTAGCATCCACGTGCAGTTAAATCAGAATAAATTTAATTGTACTTAATACAAAAAACTCCATTGTGTATTTTCTCCAACTTCACATCCTAATCAATCCATAAGTAGCCAACCATGATTTGGCTAACAAATAATCTGGCCAAATCACCCTCTGGTCAAAGTCCAAATGCCTCAGCAGCTTTTCTTAAAGATATTGTCTCAAATGTTTTCACCCTCATGCTCTAGGCCAGTGGTTCTCAACCTTCCTAATGCCACGACCCTTTAATACAGTTCCTTATGTTGTGGTGACCCCCAACCATAAAATTATTTTTGTTGCTACTTCATAACTGTAATTTTGCTACTTTTATGAATCGCCATCGGATATGTGTTTTCCAATGGTCTTAGGCAACCCCTGTGAAAGGGTCGTTCCACCCCCAAAGGGGTCGCGACCCACAGGTTGAGAACCACTGCTCTAGGCAAAGGGTACACACATAATAACTTGGGATGATTGCCATAGTGCCTTGGGCAATCATTTCCTGTGCATTCTAGTATTTTCATTGAGGTGTTGGCATACATTTCGCCATAACTGTCCCTCTATGCTCTAAGGAAAGCTGGAACATTAATTCAGTTCATTAAAGGAATGTTCATTGAGCACCTACAGAGTGCCCAATTGTATTATCCTTCTTTGCGTTTGTCAATGTGTTAAGAACTATGTTAATGGCAAGGTCAGGTGTGGAAGAAACACAGAGAAGGTGGAACATGTGGACCTGCAGTGCAGAAGTTGTTCAATGAAAAGACTGGGAAAGGCCAAAGTTGTCAGAGAGAACATCAGAAGCAAAGGCACAGGAATAAGAAAAAACATGCCAACTTCAAGTAAGCAAGTAGATCGGTGTATATGATTTGTAAATAGGATGCTTATGAAAGACTTTTATAAGAAATTTCAGTGGTCAAGTAAGGCTTTATCAAGAAGGTTTCCAAATAACATGCTATGAAATTTAGATTTTATTCTAAAGGTAATAAGAGTATGACAAAATGAGGAAGCTGCATAGTAAGATATGTATTTTAGGCCCTGGTCAGTGTGGCTCAGTGGTTAGAATGCTGGCCTGCACACCTACAGTCTTGGGTTTGATTCCTGGTCAAGGGCACATGGGGTAGAGGTTCAATCCAGCCCCAGATGGAGGAGGAAACCAACTGATGTGTCTCTCTTACAACAATGTTTCTCTCTTTCTCTTCCCCTCCTTACTTCCCTCCCACTCTCTCTAAAAATCAGTAGGAAAAATATCCTCTGTGATGATTAACAAAAATATCCTTTGTGAAGATTAACAAAAATAAATAAATGCACACACACACACAGACATATATATATATGTATTTTTAGGAAGATCATGCAGCAGATGTGGTTCTTAAGGGACCAGAAAAGAGAGGTTGAAACAAACAAAATTGCTTCTTAGCAACTTGTATATATTGGTTACATGGTAATGCAAAATAAAAATAGACTCGGGCATTCATATCTGAGAGATGTAAAACTGGAATGGTGCTTGAAATTTATATAGGAACAGAGCAAGACCAAGACCACCCTGATCTGACTTTCCTATCCTCAGAGATGCCAGTGGGGACCAAGACATCCATCACCTGTTACTGTTCCATGTTCACTCCAACCTCTCTACCATTAGCTCTCAGTGTGGTAAAGAAAAAGTGACAGAGGATGAGACATGACAAACTGTTTCAGAATTAATACAAAATTAAATTAACCAATTTAACAACAAATTCAACCTAGTTCTATCCTCTGCATTTGACATAAAACACTTAGCAGTGCATTGAAGCTGTCACCAGAAGGAAATTTTCCTAATTAGAAGACGTAGGAGAACAATTATCAAGTCATTCACTCTTGTTGCTGAAATCACTAAAAAACACAAGTCACTTCTGTGAAACTTTATTATATTTTCAGCCCAAACAGGTTAAGGTAAAGTCTTTTTTAACATGAACTCGTCACAAATTCTGACCACTCAAATATTGTCATTTAGGGAAAACACAGCCTAGGCATCGAGATGAATCCAAAGTAGTGACAACTGGTCACAGGTTAAAAATGTACTTGAGTTAATACAAAATGTGTAGCCGAGTGAAATTCATACCAGGGTAGAAAAAAATTTTAATGCAGTGGGAATTCAAAAAAGAGAGTGAATCTCAGTAGAAAAAGAGATGAAAATCTCAGCAATATTTGGAGGAATGGTAGGAAAAAAAGAAGAAAGAGCATGGGAGCCAGAGCAAAACAAAAGAGAGAGCTAAAGGAGAAAAGGCATTTCTCCCTTAATTACTAACTAAAAGTTCTAGGATTCTTTGGACCAAAAAGGTAACATGCATATTCCTAACCAATCACTGTGGGTATACAACCACTGATTGACTTAGACCAATGAGAGTGAATACTTGGAGACTCAGATATGGTCTGTTCTCCAAATCACAAGGCTACTGCACATGATGAAAGGTTAGTTCCCACAAGGAAAATCTGGCTTATTAATAAACACAGTGGTAGGAAATTAATAAATACATTATTTAACATAATATGAATTTAGAAAGATATAAATGCGATAATTCATACAGAGTAGTAATCACACTGCTTGGTATATAAAAACAGGACTTAGTAATTCACAATAATGATTGTATTGGATTGTTTAGAGGTTCTATAGTTTCATATTAGAAATAAAACTACAATACATATCTTTGTACATAAATATTTGCGCTCATTTTACATTATTCCTTTAATATGGCTTCCTAGAACTGAAATAACTAGGTCAAAAATTACTTGTCCTTTTGAATTTTTTTTTTAATCCTCACCCGAGGACATTTTTTCATTTTTTGTTCAGATAGAATGTGGAGGGAGAGAGGGAGGGAGAGAGAGAGAGAGAAACATCGACGTGAAAGGGACACATCAAGTGGTTGCCACCCGCACAACCCAACCAGGGCCGGGGACAAACTGCAACCGAGGTACATTTCCTTAGCGGGAACCAAACCCGGGTCTCTCTGGACAACAGGCCGACGCTCTAACCGCTGAGCCAAACTGACCAGGGCTGAATATTTTCATACATATCATCAAATTGTTTTCTAGAAAGATATGCCTAAAAGACTTCCACCAATAGCACATGATAATGCTAATTTTAAC